CTAGAGCGACCATCAAGAAATATTAGTAAGGGAGGGGAGGGAAAGAAAGATATTTGTATGAATTTCATAAATGTCATAATAAAAAGGAAACTGCAAGGAGAACAACATTTCCTTATAAAGTAGAGATTAATTTATCTAAAATGCTAGTTTATATGTAGTTATTTGCTTATAAGTTATTTTTTTTTATATTCTATTTTCAAAAATCGCCTTCCGGGTTTCCTGTGTATAGATAATCTTCAGGGTGTCCTAGGAGAAATATCAGGGCTCCACACGTGAGCGGCCTCTTTGCTTAGCCTTGAATCAAAATGGTGAGTCGTGGAATACGCGAAATAAATCGTCTTTTTAATGGCTAAAATGTTATTCTTTATCCATCTTATTTGCAACTACAGATTTCTCATATATTGAAGTTTTATATAGGAACTTTTTTTGATGTATTTTTCGCTTTTAGACTTGAATARATTTTAAAATTTAGTAAGATTCGAAAACAAGATGGCGGCAATTTGGAATCACATGGTTTGGTCTAAAAGCAGTGAATGCATGTAGATCAAAGTTTTATTGTCACAGGAATCTTTCAAATGYCTTGTATTTCTGTTAATAAAAAGATTGAATGTCTGATCAAGGTTGAAATGAGCCTKTCTGGCTTCAATTGTTACTGCTACAGAATTTGAAAGAAGCTTTCTTTGAACGTAACCCCCGTAACTTGCAAAAAGATGCTGATATTTTGATCTAAAAAAATATTGAAAWCATACTTTCATGTACGAATCCTTTGTAAAATTATTTATCTGTATGTATRTTATATAAATTCATCCTTTGTTAATATATGTATGCACATTGTCAGTCAAGTCTCACATGAGAGGAGTACATCATATATATTGATGCTACAATTGTCTATTAGTTATTTCATGTTGTACATGCATACTTTATATGTAATTCATTTCATTTTTTAAATTCCCCAGACTCAGAAAAGGCGTAATTGTGGGCGTTCCAAGCACGGACGTGGTCACGTCAAATTTGTGCGCTGCACTAACTGTGCTCGTTGTGTTCCTAAAGACAAGGCCATAAAAAAGTTTGTTATCAGGAACATTGTAGAAGCAGCAGCTGTYAGGGATATTGCTGACGCTAGTGTTTACGAAGGTATGGTGTGTTCTGATATGATGAGTGTAAAATGTAAATATGATAGGACATGATATAGAGATCACTAACATGGGGGCCCCTGTAATAACTTTACAGAAAGTTGAATGTACATGTAGGTATATTCCCTAGTTTTATATAAAAAAAAAAAAGATTGAATGTAAACATGCAAAGGTCAGAGTACATCAGGTATTTCATTAGACGATGGCAACCTGCAAGATCTGGCATTTATTTTGACCAATTTATGATTT